GGTCGTAGCGTTGCTCGTGCATAGTGGATCGAGCACATCCTGAGAACACTCGTCCCCAACTCTGTGCGGCTCCTTGTTGACTCGGCTCCCCTGGGTAGTGGGTCGCGGCCGAGTCCCCCCGCTGTGGGGGTTGCTGGACGAGTGGGTTCAGCGGGTTCGGTATGGGAGGTCCCGACTTCTTGGCTTTGGAACTCCTGGTAGGGTCAGGGGCACTTACCCGCAGACTTGCTTTTTGTTTATCTTTCTGTTGTCCTTCCCAAAAAATGGAGCTTCTGGCATGGGAAGAGGAGGGAGGAGGGAGGAGGGAGGAGGCGGAGGAGGGAGGAGGGAGGAGAGGGGAGGGGGGAGGGGAGGAGGGAGGAGGGAGGAGACGACGACGTCGACGACGACGACGACGACGACAGCCTTTGCCGCCCTGGCTGGGTCGCCAGGGGCTCGTGGCCGCCACGGCACGCCGCGCGAGCACGGCTGCCCTCGCCGCCCACCCCACGGGGGGCCCGGCGGCAGGGCCGTGCTGCCCTCGCCAGACCTCGAGCGCCTCCGCCGCCTGCGCCGGCCTCTCCGCGCTCCTGCGGGCGACCCGGGCATCGGAGGAGCCCTGCGCAAAAGTCGGAGCTTTGGAGAGGCTCGTCAGGAAGAGAGAAAACACACAGACACAATGAATCGTCGATCCCCCAGAACAGATGGGAAAATATGGGCAGTGGGGGGAAGACATAAACCCAGAACATATGGGAGAATAGGGGGAATCCTTGTTATTTGGTTGTATTTATTTGTGTGTCCCAGGGCCCCTTCAACTCGGGGGCCCCCAAACGGGGTATGTTGACCACACCGTGCGGCGAGTCGGTGGGGATTCGGGGTCACCGCACGGTTCCGGGACCCGGGTCCCTCTCCGAGGATGTCTCGGGCGACAGGGGCCTCCGGGGCCCCAAAGCCGTGCGGCGACGGACCGTGCAGTGAGATCTTGGGGGATGTCGAGGTCACCGCACGGCCTGTCACCGCACCGTTTCGGGACTCCAAAGAGTCAGGAGGGACAAAAACACACAGACACAATGAATCGTCGAGTCCCAGGTAGATATGGGAAAATATGGGCAGTGGGGGGGTGGCAGACCAAAACCGAGAAAACATGGGAAAAATATGGGGAATCTTTTTGTGTGTGTATTTGTGTGTGTGTGTGTGTGTGTGTTTGCGTGTCCTGGGGCCCCTTCAAAGAGAGACGGGGGTCAATGCAAACGGGGGTCCGCCAGGGCACTGGGATCCTGCAGGAGCCTGCCACGGATCCCCTCTGGCTGACCCGGGCCTCGCGAGCCGCTCGTGGCCGCGGGGCGGCCGCGCACACTGGCTGACCCGGGTTTGCGAAGCCCTGCGTTGCGGTTTTTCTTGGCTTCCTGCTGACCTGGGTCTGATTGGTCTGGGTTAGCAGGTCCCCGAGCAAACGCAGTTGGTGCTGGTGCCAGGGAAACCCGATGAGACCAAAGAGCTCTCAGGCTGTGACTGCGCAGAGGTTTCCTCTGCCTGGCTCTAACATGTACCGGGCGACCTCTAGAAGATTCGAGTCTCGGCGGCTACGGACGGCGCAGCAAGCATATGTGCACGCCTGCCTGCAGCAAGTCATGCGGCAACGTGTTCGCAATCATTTGTTGCATGGCGTGGCAACGATGCTCCAGTTTCTCAGTCTCGAACCCTTGGCATAAGTGCAGGACCGACGACACTGCCGACATTGCTGTCCCGCGGGGTCGAATGCCTATGTTGCTTGCGTTTTGTTGGTGGTGTCTTGTCAAGAGCGTGGGTATGTTGGTCAGCAGCTTGGTAACATGTGATATGATTGTGTATGATCTTGATGCCACTGTCGCCTCGCCATCCACGCCTGAGTGGCCCCTTCACAGCAGCATCGAATGGCATCTTCACAGGTGGGGGAATCCAACGAGGAGGGGAGGACGCGATGGATGATGATGCTGCTGATGATGATAATGATGACGATGATGACGATGATGCTGATGATGATGCTGCTGATGATGATGAGGATGATAAGGATGATGATGATGACGATTTTGATGACGATGATGATGACGATGATGATTGTGGTGTTGGTGGCGATGATGACGACGATGATGATGACGATGATGGTGATGACAATGATGATTATATTGGTGACGGTGAGGGTGATGGTGGTGGTGGTCGCGGTGATGGTGATGATGTTGATGATGATGGTTGTGACGGTGTTGGTGGTGATGATGATGGTGGTGGTGGTTATCTTGTTGATGATGATGGTGATGATGCTGATGCTCATGATGATGCTGATGATGATGCTGATGGTGATGGTGATGGTGATGGTGATGATGATGATGATGATTATGATGATGATGATGATGATGATGATGATGATGATGATGATGATGATGATGCTGTTGATGATGCTGATGATGGGGATTTGGCGGAGGAGGAGGAGGAGGAGGAGGAGGAGGAGGAGGACGAGTCCACAAGTCTGGGAGGCAGGAGCCTGGAGGCTGGGAGGGATCTCTTCTCTTGCTGCGCAGTCTGAGGCCTCGGGCTTCAAGCTCCACTTGGGTTGAGTTGAGTTGCGGGCAGGAGCGCCAGGGGGACAGGAGATGGCTGTAATGATTCGCGCGCCTGGAAATGACGCGAAGTACGCCCGCTGTCGCATCCTGTCTGGATGGCCTGACTCCCCCTGTGCTCCAGGGAGCCGTCCCCTGTGCTCCAGGAGTGTGGAGTCGAGGGGTCTGGTGGTGCCAGATGTTTGGAGCCATGAGCAAAGGAGGTCAGTTTGTGAGATGTCAGGGCGAGTGCAGTCTGGGCCGAATGGGCTCGTGGGGCAGGAGTGCGATCGCCGCGTAAACTTCGCAGAAGCCCACCCCTCTCAGACTTGACGGCCTGGGCCGCGCCCGAGCCAGTTTTGTGTTTGTTTCGTTTGAGACAGTGCGTGACGAATTGACGAAACAATTGCACATCTTGGTTTTTAGTCTGAAAGCGGAAGACTGGCAGGAGGAGGAGGAGGAGGGGTGGGGGATGGCCCAGGTCAGTCTTTCGTCCGTGGAGGGGTGGGTCTATGGGCTAACGCCGGAGACGCGTCGGATTCGTCGGCGCGAGAGCCGAGGAAAATCATACTACCACTCGCAGCTGTTCCCCATATCCTAAGATTGGGTTCTTGTTATCTCTTGGACGCCGCCGACTCCAGAGAACAAGAACACACCCAGAACACAGACTTAATCATACACAGACTTACTCACTCATACACAGACTTACTCATACCCAGACCTACTCATACACAGACTTACTCATACACAGACTTACTCATACTCAGACATTCTCATACTCAGACCTATCCATACTCAGACTTACTCGTACCCATACGTGCACCTATACAGACTTACTCATACACAGACTTACTCATACTCAGACTTACCCATACCCAGACGTACTCATACACAGACTTACTCTTACTCAGACCTGCACATACTCAGACCTTCTCGTAGTCTGAGTTACTCAACACACGGCAGATTTTGAGGATGTCTCAGGCGGGGCGCTGGCTTCAGCACCCCTAAGGGGAGCCGCCAGGGGGTGTATCACGGGCCTGTTCGCGGCCAGTTTGCGGGGATGTCTCCGGCGGTTTGCTCGTTCTCATGTCCAACACCTTTTGCTTTCATAGCAGATTGTGAGGATGTGTCAGGCGGGGCGCTGGTTGCAGCACCCCTAAGGGGAGCCGCCAGGGGGTATCTCACGGGCCCGTTCGCGGCCAGTTTGCGGGGATGTCTCAGGCGGTTTGCTCGTTTTCATGCCCAACATCCTTTGCTTTCATAGCAGATTGTGAGGATGTCTCAGGCGGGGCGCTGGTTGCAGCAACCCTAATGGGAGGCCAGTTTGCGGGGATGTCTCAGGCGGTTTGCTCGTTTTCATGCCCAACATCCTTTGCTTTCATAGCAGATTGTGAGGAAGTCTCAGGCGGGGCGCTGGTTTCAGCACCCCTAAGGGGAGCCGCCAGGGATGTTCTCACGGGCCCGTTCGCGGCCAGTTTGTGGGGATGTCTCACGCGGTTTGCTTGTTTTCATGCCCAACATCCTTTGCTTTCAAAGCAGATTGTGAGGATGTCTCAGTAAGGGCGCTGGCTTCAGCACCCCTAAGGAGAGCCGCCAGGGGGTATCTCACGGGCCCGTTGGCGGCCAGTTTGCGGGGATGTCTCAGGCGGTTTGCTCGTTTTCATGCCCAACATCCTTTGCTTGCAGAGCAGATTTTGAGGATGTCTCAGGCGGGGCGCTGGATTCAGCATGGTTCATATTCACTCAGTCGCATTAGGATTCACTCGTCTTCGTCGGCCCTGTCGCCCACGTGGACGCGCTATTATAATCAAGCGCTCATGAACAGACGCACACTATGGCATGACATAAAACAAGAGGTGCACATATCGGGAGCTCCACGCAGTGAGTAATTACTCTCCCGTGCGTCATGGTCTGACAGCCGAGGTGCCCAGTTGATCGGACGAAAGCCGGAGCAAGGATGGGTGCCAACCGCTGGCAGCAAGCAGTCCGCACTCGTGTGGCTCGAAGACTCTGGCCCACGCAAGGACCCTACGTAACGCAATACTTACACGACCCCCACGCCAGCACACGGCACATCGGAAGCTGCACCCGCCCGTGCCAGGAAGAGGGGAACGCAGAGTGGCACAGACACAAAAGCCCAGAGGCCCGCGCGCCGGAGGCGCCGCCAGTGGGCCCCAGCGACGATCCGAGAAATCCGCGCGGCCCGCCGAGCTTTTATGCCTCTGTCGCTCCTCGCTCCCCTGGGGTCGACTAGACGTAAGAGTGACCCTTCGCCGGAGTGACCTCTGGTGCGCGCTCACTGGGGTCCCCCGATCGCCGCGCCCGTGGCGATATCGGCGTCTTGCGCGCCAGTGCTTGGCCTCCTCGCGCCCCCCCCCAAGAGCCGCGCACCAAAGGCCACTCTTACCCAGGGTCACTCTTGCGTGCAGTCGATAGCGAAGCGCCGCCATGACCCGCGGGACCCAGCTCGACCGCCTCCCCGGGGGCGAGGGCCGGCGCGGCGGGTCTCGCTCGCAGGGCGCGGCCCCGGCCCCCGCGCCCGAGCTCCCGAGCTGCCGACCCGGTGCCGACGGGCCCCCGGGCCTCCCCGCCGACCCCGCGGAGGGCGGCTCGGGCCCTCCGTGCCGCGAGGTCGCTCGAGCAGTGGCGCATTCGGATGCAACTCCATGGGAGGCTAAATTCTGATGTAGCCCTGGTCCGAAGTCCGGCGGAATCCAGCTTCATCCGGCTTGATCCCGCTTAATCCCGCTCAATCCGGCTTAATCCCGCTTAGTCCCGCTTAATTCTGCTTAGTCCGAGGCCCACTCCGGCGTAACAGCTCCCTTAATCTTCCTTAATATGTCCGACGAAAACCTCCCAGTACTTGCCTCCTAAGGCGAAGCGTCCTAGAGTTCGCCTGCAGGCCTACACATTGTGGTCACTTCCAGTTCTTCGAGAGGGTTCTTTGACTCTGTGGGGTGGGGGGCACGATCCACGCATTTCTAGTTGCTCTTTCCTGGGCCTCGTCCTGGCCACTCTGGGGCCAGGAATCATTAGAAACGAGCACACTTAGAAGTGAGCACGAATCTGAAATCAACGACGTGTACCAAAGAATGTTCCGAGAACCTTCTGTGGGTGGCACGAGCTGTTCAGAGGACGTGCTTGGCTGGGGCGTCCTCCTGTCTCCACACGTCGGGCCTCTGTCCCCAGAGCACTGCTTCTGTTCTCAGCAGATGTCCTGGGGTTCTGAGAGCATGTCGTGGTAGTCGGGGGTGGACAGAGCCCCCAACAGTGACACGTCGATTAGTGAATTGTCCGTTTTCGGTTCTCGAGAGGGCGCCGTGGCCGTTATTTTCCAGGCTTGCGCCCGCCAGGTTTGGGCCCGAGGTCGTTTTCACTAAGCCACGTTTTACTAAAGGGAGGTCTGTCCATCCCCGGGCGTCCTCGGCGTCGCCCCGCCTAATTTTTTGAGACGGGCCTGTCAAAAAAAGAAATGATCCAAACATAGGCAACAATTGTCAGAAAACATATGGGAATATTAAAAAAATGATAACAAAAAACAAATTGTCTGGGGGCTCTAGGGGCCCCCAGACTAGTTGTAGGCCTCCAGGGGTGCCGGGCCGGCCGCTCCCTGCCCACAGGTCCCGCTCCCGGCGCTGCACCGGCCGGGGTGCCAGGCCCCAGGGCCGCTTGCAGGCGGCTCGACTGCCCGTGGGGATGAATGGCGAGGAGGAGGAGGAGGAGGAGGAGGAGGAGGAGGAGGAGGAGGAGGAGGAGGAGGAGGAGGAGCAAAAGGAGGAGGAGAGGAGGAGGAGGAGGAGGAGGAGGAGGAGGCGGAGGAGGAGAAGGAGGAGGAGGAGGAGGAGGAGGAGGACCTCCTTCGCCGGAGTGGCCTGTGGTGCGGGCCCACTGGGGGCCCCCGGTCGCCGAGCGCGGTGCGACAGCAGCGGCCTGCGCGCTCGTGCCTGGTCTCCCCCCGCGGCCCCCCCGAGGAGCCGCGCGCCAGGGGTCGCACTGACCCAGGGTCGCACTTTTGCGTGACGCTGCCAGGCGTGCCTCCTGCCCGCGAGGGAGCGGCGGCGGGCGACTCGCAGGCGAGCGTCGCGCTGGCCTGCCCCGAGGAGGCCAGCGCCCAGAGCCGGCGCACGCCGCTCAGCTCCAAGGCCTACGCCTACGTCCCCGCCGCCGTGCCCACGGCGGAGGCGAGAGCGCCCCGCAGGAGCAGGCAGGCTCCGAGGGCTCGGTGTGGGCAGTGGCAGGACCCGACCACGGTGATGATGCGCAACCTGCCCTACTGCTACACGCGCAAGAGGCTGATTGACCTGTTCGACTCCCTGGGGCTCTCGCCATGGGGGAAGCGGGTCCTGAGGGAAGCGGGTCAGGGGTTTCTGTTCGCCGCTTTCGGGTCCTCGGGGCCCTCCACCAGCCCCGGGACCGTCAGAAAAGGATTCAGGATGAAGAAGTCGTCCTGAGGGGAATGCCCTAGGGTCCTTGACACGTTTCCCTCAGGACCCGTCCCCCCATGGTAAGGTTCTCAGGCAAGTAGGATTTTTTCTATTTGCCCATTGACTTCGCAACTGGGTACCACGTCGGCTACGCGTTTCTGAACCTGACAGCTTGGGAGCATGCCGTTCACTTCATGGAGGTCTTCACTGGGTTCAGTGACTGGAAGCCAAAGCGTGACCATCGGATTTGTGCTGTTTCCTGGGGCGCGATACAAGGATTCCACGCGAACGTCGAGCGCTTCGAGATCTCGCAAATGACAATGCCGAGAATTCCTGAAGACTACAAGCCTGTGCTGTTCTGGGATGGTGTGCAAATCTCATTCGATTTATATTGCCAGGCGAAGAAGGTAATGAGCGGAGAGGGGGATCCCAGTCAGTTGGGTTTGCAAGTGTCGGCTGTGTTTGGTGGACAGGTCGCCGAGAAGATGTTGCAGTAGTAGCAGGGTTATAGGCGTACTTGGTTCGCCTGGTGAAACTGGGCGTGTCTGGATTCTGAGGTAGCTGCCCGATGGTCGTATTCCATATGTCGAATGCTGAATCTACTCAACTTTTGCATTGCTGACACTGCCGATTAGGTCTTTGCTTGTATTTTTCTGGGCCTGTGTATTATCGAAGGCGCCTATGGATAATCACCGCCGCCCGCTGCCTTTTGGAATCGCCCATGTGGCCGAACTTTGTGGCCAGAGCGCTTCCAAGCTAGCCGACCATGTGTTCCCCCAGCCGTTGTGGAAACCCTTCGGGGAACACGCGGGGGAGAAAGAAGACGCGGAGGAGAGGGAGGACACATAGAGAGGAGACGAGGAGGAGGAGGAGGAGGAGGAGGAGGAGGAGGAGGAGGGCCCGAAAGGGCCGCAACGTAAGCTCCGCGTAAGCTCCGCGTAGGCTTCGCGTAAGCGCGTAAAGTCCTCGTTAATTTGAGGTGCCTTCAAGACAGCCCATGAGAGACCAAGCGTCCTCCAAGACGGTCCAAGATGCCTCCAAGACGACCCAAGAGGCCAGAGGCCCGTAAGATCGCCCCAAGACGGCACAAGATACCCCCAAGACGGCCCCAAGACGTGTTCGAACACTGCACGTATGCAGACGGCTTCAACGGCCTCCAAGATGGCGTAGAGAGGCCCAGACGGGCCCGAGGACGGCCCAAGAGCGATCCAGATAGCCAACGACGTCCTCAATACGGCTCAAGAGGTCTCCAAGACCCTCCTATCCCGAGCACCGATGAGCGGTCTGAGCGGGACACAAAAAAACGAAAGTAGTGTTTTCGCCGCCCGGGGGGCGCCCTTGGCCCCGCCCTACCTGCATAAGCTCCTCGCCAGCTGAAGGCACCTCCAAGACGGCGTGAGAGAGGCCCAGACGGGCCCGAGGACGGCCCAAGAGCGATCCAGATAGCCCACGACGTCCTCAATACGGCTCAAGAGGTCTCCAAGACCCTCCTATCCCGAGCACCGATGAGCGGTCTGAGCGGGACACAAAAAACGAAAGTAGTGTTTTCGCCGCCCGGGGGCGCCCTTGGCCCCGCCCTACCTGCATAAGCTCCTCGCCAGCTGAAGGCACCTCCAAGACGGCGTGAGAGAGGCCCAGACGTGACCGAAGACGGCCCAAGAGCGATCCAAGATAGCCCAATATGGCCTCAGCACAGCCCAAGAGGCCTCCAAGACACCCCAAACGGCACCCGAGTGGACCCCCAGAAGTGCTGAAGGACGAATCAACCATTATTGCTTTTAGGTTTATGAAGGTTTGGCAGTTCCTCGTCTTTTTGGGCAAGAACAGCCCGATACAGCTCCAGAGCCCCCCGATATTGTGCCATGACGGCCCGAGAGGCTCCCAAGAGAGCCTGGGGACGGCCCAGAAGGGCCCCAAGAGGGCCTAAGAGAGCCACAAGACGGCCCAAGGAGGGCCTGGGAGACGCCCAAGATGCTCCCAAGAGACAGCATGTCGTCGTTAGCATCATCAACAGTATGATCCGAATATTCATTTGTGTTTTATCGCGCTCTAGTGCCTTCAAAGATGCCAGCACGCCCTGGTTCCCCCTCAAGAGGCCTCCTGCAGCTTCGAGATAGCTTTAGAGGGCGCCCAAAATGCCACCAAGATGCCCCAAGAGAGCCTCCAGACGGGGAGACAGAGAGAAAGAACGGGCACGGCAGCGACATCTCACGCTCTGAAAGTAAATGCGTTTTCCGTCCCCGTGCCAAGCAGGTCGAATAGCCATTTCCTTGTTAACGGAGCCCTGAACAGGGAAAATCGGGTGCTTAACAGGGAGAATGAATTCCTTGTCCTTGTTAGCAGAGCCCTTGACACGGAACACCGGGTGCTTAGCATTGAAAACCACAGGGTTGCACGTTCGGGCATTGTTTTCCCTGTTAACGGAGTCCTTAACATGGACTTAACAGGCAAACTCGGTGACGGACGCGTTTTTTCCATGTTGACGGACTTCCAATGGCGGTTTTCGGGTTTTCCGTATGGTTTTTGTGTGTTTTCGGGTTCTCCCCTTTTCCGTCCCAGAGGGGCCCCAGACGGCCCAAGAGGCCCCAAAGATCGTCCCAAGATGGCCCCAGAGGCGCCCCAAAGGGTCCGAGAACGGTCCAAGAGGGCCCCCAGACGGGCCCAAGACGGCCCAAGACTGCCCCCAAGATCGTCCCAAGACGGCCCCAGAGGCCCCCAAAGGGGCCAAAACTGTCTAAGAGGGCCCCCAGACGGCCTCAGAGGTACCCAAGAAGGCGGAGGAGGAGCAGGAGGAGGAGCAGGAGGAGGAGGACGAGGAGGATAATAATAATAATGATAATCATATGAATGATAATAGGAGGAGGAAGAGGAGGAGGAGGAGGAGGAGGAGGAGGAGGAGGAGGAGGAGGAGGAGGAGGAGGAGGCGGAGCAAGGCTCCCAACTGAGAGCGGTGACGTAGCACGCGCTTACCAGGAAGGTTCCCAAGACCGAGCGGTGACGCAACAAGCTCTTACCATCAAGGCTCCCAAGAGCGAGCGACAACGTAGGCATCTCTGGGACGAGGACTCTGAACAGAGAGCGGTGACGTAACAAGATCTTCCCAGCAAAGCTCCCAACAGAGAGCGGTGACTTAACACGCGCAGGCCAGCAAGGCTCCCAAGCGCGAGCGGTGACGCAACAAGCTCTTACCACCAAGGCTCCCAAGAGCGAAGGGGGCCATGAGCCATCTCGGGCAGGTTGTTGAAGCGCTCTTTCCTTTTCCGTGCTGGCCCCAGGTGACGGAAAGAGCGAGGTACGAGTGATGACGTTGAGTTGAGGCGAAGCTTTCTCGGGAGAGGTCCAGGGGAGGGGCGAGGCCCGGGGACAATGGTCTAATAGCTCGTTTCTCTTTTATTTTTTCGAGTCAAGCGGCCAAAAGCCTTGATTTCCCTAGGGTTTGTGCAGGTTTTTCGGGTTCTCCCTTTTTCCGTCCCAGAAGGGAGACGGCCCAAGAGACCCCAAAGATCGTCCCAAGACGGCCCCAGAGGCGCCCCAAAGGGTCCGAAAACGGTCCAAGAGGGCCCCCAGACGGGCCCAATATTGCCCAAGACTGCCCCCAAGATCCCCCAAGACGGCCCCAGAGGCCCCCAAAGGGACCGAAAACTGTCTAAGAGGGCCCCCAGACGGCCTCAGAGGTACCCAAGAAGGCGGAGGATGAGCAGGAGGAGGAGCAGGAGGAGGAGGACGAGGAGGATAATAATAATAATGATAATCATATGAATGATAATAGGAGGAGGAAGAGGAGGAGGAGGAGGAGGAGGAGGAGGAGGAGGAGGAGGAGGAGGAGGAGGAGGAGGCGGAGCAAGGCTCCCAACTGAGAGCGGTGACGTAGCACGCGCTTACCAGGAAGGTTCCCAAGACCGAGCGGTGACGCAACAAGCTCTTACCATCAAGGCTCCCAAGAGCGAGCGGCAACGTAGGCATCTCTGGGACGAGGACTCTGAACAGAGAGCGGTGACGTAACAAGATCTTCCCAGCAAAGCTCCCAACAGAGAGCGGTGACTTAACACGCGCAGGCCAGCAAGGCTCCCAAGCGCGAGCGGTGACGCAACAAGCTCTTACCACCAAGGCTCCCAAGAGCGAAGGGGGCCATGAGCCATCTCGGGCAGGTTGTTGAAGCGCTCTTTCCTTTTCCGTGCTGGCCCCAGGTGACGGAAAGAGCGAGGTACGAGTGATGACGTTGAGTTGAGGCGAAGCTTTCTCGGGAGAGGTCCAGGGGAGGGGCGAGGCCCGGGGACAATGGTCTAATAGCTCGTTTCTCTTTTATTTTTTCGAGTCAAGCGGCCAAAAGCCTTGATTTCCCTAGGGTTTGTGCAGGTTTTTCGGGTTCTCCCTTTTTCCGTCCCAGAAGGGAGACGGCCCAAGAGACCCCAAAGATCGTCCCAAGACGGCCCCAGAGGCGCCCCAAAGGGTCCGAAAACGGTCCAAGAGGGCCCCCAGACGGGCCCAATATTGCCCAAGACTGCCCCCAAGATCCCCCAAGACGGCCCCAGAGGCCCCCAAAGGGACCGAAAACTGTCTAAGGGGGCCCCCAGACGGCCCCAGAGGCGCCCCAAAGGGGCCCAATACGGTCCCGCACACGGGCCCAAGACGGGCCAAGATGCCCCAAAGATCGTCCCAAGGCGGCCCCGGAGGCGTCCCGAACGGGCCCAAAACGGTCCAAGAGGGCCCCCAGACGGCCCCAGAGGGACCCCAGAATGCCCAAGAGGGTCCCAAGACGGCCCAAGAGAGCCCCAAGGGGGCCCCAAGAGGGCCCCAAGAGGCTCCCAAGCGGGCCAGGAGGAGGAGGAGGAGGAGGAGGAGGAGGAGGAGGAGGAGGAGGAGGAGGAGGAGGAGGAGGAGGAGGAGGAG